ACTCAAAACAGAGTGAAGATTCTGTCTTGTGGCAAGAAACTTCAAGTATCTGGTGATTAAGTGGCAGGAAGCTCTGATTATTATTTTATGTTACAGTAGTTAGTAAAATACTTAAAATCAATAAACTATTATTTCATTACTGAACAAAAACCGCTAGCATGATTTCCAAAGCTCATATAAAATAAAATATACAATCAAGCAAACATGCTGAAGTTTTGCATCCACACAGATTTTTTTTTTTAACATTAAACCAAAACCCAGGAAACTTTGCTGAGAGGAGGGAGGAGGGACTGAAAGGAAGAGAGAATATGTGAGGTTAAAGGTAAAATATGACGTTACAATATTTTCCAATGGGATAAGTGGATGACTTTAGGAATTATTTAAAAAAAGAAACAAATAATTAGAAACTTAGGCATACTTCAATATCTATCAATCCAGAAACGCAACAGATAATGATTACAGCAATAATAAAGCTCCTCAAAGTATCTGTTTCTTTTTTCATCTTGCTTCATCTTGACACCGTATCTGTTTGGGAAATGTGATTCTTCGGGTAACTAACTATTCATTTTGGAAATTTCTATGTGACTGAAAACTTTTCTGATACAACTATAGAACATTTCCTTAAAATTGATTAATATATATGTGTTGAGAGTAGAAATGGAGAATTAGACTCAATTTCTCCTTTTTAATTTTCCTTACAATCTAAAAGTTTAATAAAATCTCTAAATTCTTCTAAATATTTCTGATTCTTAACCCATATCATAGACCCACTGTCACATATATATAGTAAGATTTAAAATGGGCATCTACCCAAAAGAACAAAAGTCACTCTATGAAAAAGACACCTGCACTAGAATGTTTATAGAAGCACAATTCACAATTGCAAAGATGTGAAAACAACCGAAGTGCCCTTCAATTCATGAGTGGATTAATAAAATGTGGTATATGTATACCGTGGAGTACTATTCAGCTATAAGAAACAATGGTGATATAGCACCTCTTGTATTTTCCTGGTTAGAGCTGGAACCCATACTAGTAAGTGAAGTATCCCAAGAATGGAAAAACAAGCACCACATATACTCACCAGCAAATTGGTATTAACTGAGCAGCACCTAAGTGGACACATAGGTACTACAGTAATAGGGTATTCGGCAGGTAGGAGGGGGAAGGGGGGCGGGTATACATACATAATGAGTGAGATGTGCACCATCTGGGGGATGGTCATGCTGAAGACTCAGACTTGTAGGGGATGGGAGAATGCGCATTTATTGAAACCTTAAAATTTGTACCTCCATAATATGCTGAAATAAAAAAAAGAAGAAAATGAAAAAAAAAAGAAGTTTGCATAATCTATGCAATATCCCAGTGAGTGTGTGATAAAATTTTTACTAAACCTAGCTGAATATCTCAAAGCTCTTCTCTAACCATCAGATTCACTAATTCTCTAAATGCATGTGGTTATCTAACACCTGTTTCATTTGCATATGTTTTTATCTCAGTAATCTTTCCTTCTGTATATTTTTATCCTCTGCATAATTATTACTTTCTCCTGAGAAGCCTCCCTTATCTCTTAAATTCCATAGACACTATCCTATCTTCCCCGTGATGTTTCTGTAGTCCTTTATTGTAAGACTAATTACATACTGTCTAGCAATACAATCATGTGCCACATAACTACATTTTGGTTAATAGACCACTTCTGCACTCGAATGTTTATAGCAGCACAATTCACAATTGCAAAGATGTGGAAACAACCTAGATGCCCATCAATTCATGAGTGGATTAATAAAATGTGGTACATGTATACCATGGAGTACTACTCAGCCATAAAAAATGGTTAATTACCTCTTGTATTTTCCTGGATGGAACCAGAGCCCATTCTACTAAGTGAAGTATCACAAGAATGGAGAAAGAAGCAACACATGTACTCACCATCAAATTGGTATTAAGTGATCAACACTTATGTGCACATATTGTAGCAACATTCATCAGGTGTTGAGCAGGTTGGCAGGGGGAGAAGGGGATGGGTATATTCACACCTAATGGGTGTGGTGCAGACTGTCTGGGGGATGGACATGCTGGTAGCTCTTACTTGGGCAGGGCAAAGGCAATATATTTAACCTAAATATTTTTACCCCATAATATGCTGAAATAAAAAAAATTAAAGAAAAAAAGAGTACATTGCTCACAAATACACCTATAATGATGGAGATAAGGAAACTTATTTTTTCCTCATCTAGCTCTTTATATGAATATGAGTTGCCTCATAGATTTTTGTTGTCTGTTTGGAAAAATGAAATAAGTTAAATGTTTAGTCAATGCTTTGCAGCCATAAATCTCAAAAAATATAATTGCTATATGTTTTTCTGTTAAAGAATTTATGAAAAAAATATGAAAATTATCACTATTTTGATAAAAAAACAAAAGTAAATGAATATAATTTTCATAAGTACCCGATACTTTTCACCATTTCTACATAAATATGTTGACTGTATAATTTCAATGCTTATCTCAAAATGTATCAATTATAAACTCAACACATCTCAGTACCTCTGTATTATGTATTAACTAGTCGTTTATTCATTATTTCCTGCTTTCTTTCTTTTCCTTTTTCAAATATTCTCAAATTTCAATTCTATTAATGACCAGCTCCTCTGGGATTAAATGCTACATGCCATATGTCCATATTTATACCTTTGAAGAAAATAAGGAGAAAATATTAAATATCAAATTTGTACTACATATATGTATATATAGTATATGAGTGTATATTTTTCTACTCGTGAAACTTGCATCTTTCAATGCAGAATATTTAGAAATGAATATGCTAAAAATATTCAATCCCAGATTTTCAAATATTTATTTTTTTGGTTCATACATATTTTGTCAATGAGAAGATATCATGTAAACAACTATAAACAGAGATTTAACAAAAGTGAATGATACGGTGACAGGAAGAGGTCAAAAGGCAATAGATGCAATTTTTAGCAAATATTGCTATGACATTAGTCATGTGGCATGGAAAGGGTTACCCTAAGTTCAAAGAAGCAATTCAGGGCATAAAACTCTTCATAGGTTCTTAATACTGTCCATTTCAGAAGACTATTAAGTAGTACTAGAAATCCAAAACAGTATTTTCTACTATCTCTTTACTAACTCTTTTCTGAGTTGCCAAAATTTAAAGGATATAAGCATGCCAATTCTCCTGAATTGGCATGAAGATATCTTCTCCTGAAGATAGGTCCAGAATTTCTAAGAGAAAAATATGGACTCGTACAATATGGAAGAATCAAATTCTAAATCAAACTTTCATATACCCTGTATCAAATGTTGTCTGTATGCCTCATTTACATCAATAATTATGTTTTTACACTTTCTTATCAATATATATAAAAAAGACCAATATTAATGATTTATCTTTATCTTTTAATGATGCCTCACCTTGGCACTTTCTGTTCACTTAATAAATTCCCATGAGCCAACAAGAAAGACAGATAAAATAAGTCCAATTCCATTTATATAACATGCATAGAGAGGGACATTTCTTATTTTCCATTGTTCACGTTAGCATTTGCAGGAAAACATAACATTCTCTGAAGGCGAAGAGAAACACTACTTAGATTTTAAGGATATATGATCATAGGGTTACAAATGCAAGTTTTAACAAGTGTTTATTACATGGAAAGAGGAAAATGGAAGAGTACTTTACTAGTTAATCTGGTTATAACTGTGTTTATAAATGGATCTTGTATGAGAGAGGGAAAGCAAGAATTAATTGTAATATAATAAAATGTTTCAACGTTTTATAAAATCATGAATTAAGGATATTGTGGGTCAGATATTATAGAAACAAGAAGAGCTATAACTTCTGAAAGCCATGAAAAAGTTAAATCACCACATTTGTTTTGAGAGTACAAAAAAATAAATAAGTAAATTGCCAAATCGATTTGCCAGCTCTGAAATTATATGACTATTTAAGAAAGTTAGATGGTAGAATTTCAGACTAAATTATCAAGAAGAACCAGGAAGTAAGTAACTTGATTACTCTTAAATGTAATACATATTATTCTACTTTATATGTTTGAAAATAGTATTTGCACATGATTGTGGACTTACAACTCTTATAATTTTAAAAATTAAATAATTGTTTATTACTAAGAAAATGTTATTCACAGTAAATGTTATTTCAACAATCTACTTGTTCATTTGCCATAGCAATATCACAAATACAAAAGGTGAATGTCACTTTGCATGAATTCAAATGTTTCTACACAATGATTTGTTTTAGCAATGGAAGTTTCCCTTTCTTGTTCTGGCTTTTTTGCTAGAAAAGGGGAAAAATGAGGCATGGAGGATAATAACATCAATGGAACCCCTCAGAAGAGAAAGCCAACAAAACATAGCCATGGATAACATGTATTTTCAAAAGAGATGATAACTATAGTGATCGGTTGTTTAACCTCGTGAAAGTTTCCTAAACTTTGTGAGACCCAGTTTCTCAAAATATCACGTTTTAAGGTAGGCCTAAATAACCTCTGTAAATTTTCAAATTCTGTATTTAGATTATGCTACATTACAGGTTCTTTTTTATAACATTGAGGAAAGGCAAAAAATCAATTAGAATGCTTTCATGTTTTTAAATATTTTTAACAACAACTAGAAGCTCAATTTTGAAGAAACATTAAACGAACAAGCTTCTGTTTAAATGCTAATACCAAAAATTTTTATCCATGGCCTGTAATAGTATATTTTCAATGAGGAGAGATTGGTTTTTAACGTCAGATAATATTTTTTACTTGAATTAAAGGTAGAATGGGAATTGAAGAGAGATGCTGATGGAAAGCACGTGAGTTTTTTAAAAAATATTTCATAGATTATTCATAATTATAGACACTGAAAATGTTATATACTATCCTCAACAGTGTTTTATTTTTTGTTTATAATTCTATAGGAGGGAACATACATTTTCTTTTTTCAGAGGGGAAAAATAAAGATCAGCAATGAAAAACCACACAGTACCCACAGAATTCATTCTTCTAGGGCTGTCAGATGACCCGGAGCTTCAGATTGTGATTTTTCTCTTTTTAATTATCATGTATATATTAAGCATCACTGGAAACTTGACCATCATCACTCTCACCTTGGTGGACTCCCATCTACAGACTCCTATGTATTTCTTCCTCAGGAACTTTTCTGTATTAGAAGTAACCTTTACAACTGTCTGTATCCCTTAGGCAACTACTGACTCATAATACAGGGATGGTCAAATCTCACACACAGACATAATCAACCAGCTCAGAAACTAAACAAGGCATGTGAACATCAAATGAAACCTAAAGGAAGAACACAGCTGATTGACATGGGAAGAAATCAGCGAAGGAACTCCAGTAATATGAAGAACCAAACAGAAACACACCCAAAGGAGGAGCACCAGACCCCTGAAATGGTCACCAACGAAAATCAGGCAACCAAAATGACAGAAGAGGAATTTCATATGTGAATCATAAGAACACACGGACCTGCAACAACACTCAATAACCAACACAAAACCACAGAAAGCCTCCAGGACTAGAACAAAAGTTCACTAAAGAACTAGAACAAATGAAGAAAAGTTTAACGAACTCCTGAAATGAAAATCAATTCAGGGAACTATAAAATACAGTTGAAAGCCTCAAGACAGGGTAGATCAAACAGAAGAAAGAATCTCAGAGACTGAAGATAAACCCTCCAATTAAATAAATCAGTCACAGAGATAGAGCAGAGAAACAAGAGAATGAGCAAAGCCTACAAGAGCTGTGGATTATGTGAAGAAACCTAATATGAGGTCATAGCTTACCAGAAGGGGAAGAAGACAACACTCAAGATTGACAAGCTTTGAAGATATAATAGAGGAAAATTCCCAGGCCTTGCTCAAAATCTCGATATACAACGTTCAGAAGCTCAGAGGACCCCTGGAGATTCAACGCAAACAGGAAGACATCACGACATGCAGTCATCAGACTGACCAAAATATCAACTAAAGAGGCCCTTCTAAGATATATAAGACGAAAGAAGCAAGTGACATACAAGGCAAAGCCAATTTGAATAACATCAGACTTCTCTAATGAGACTTTACAAGCAAGGAGAGACTGGCCCATTCTCACTCTCTGAAACAAAACAATGCCCAGCCTAGAATCTTATTCCTGCAAAACTAAGCTTCATATATGAAGGGAAAATAGACATTCTCAAACAAGCAGAGTCTCAGAGAATTCAGCAACACAAGACCAGCCCAACAAGAAGTACTCAAACAGTGTTACCCACGGAACACCATAATAAAAACTCACAAATAAAAACAACCAAACCAAAGATTAAGGCCAGATAATACAATGGCTCAAGAGAGAATCAAACAACAAAATCCAACCAACAGAATGAACAATAATTACTTTACTATTAGTCTCTCAATAAATGTGAATGGCTTAAACTCTCCACTCAAGAGATATAGCTGCTGAATGGATAAGAAAATATAGGCCAAGTAACAAAACAAATGGATATTAATGCCAGAATCAAACTATACTACAAAGCTGTAGTAATTAAATCAATATGGTATTGGCACAAAAATAGGAATATTGACCAGTGGAACAGATCTGAGAATCCTGATATAAAACCATCCTCATGTACCCATCTAATCTTTCACAAATCAGACAAAAACATACACTGGGGAAAAGAATCCCTTTTCAATAAATGGTCTGGGAAAACTGTGTAGCCACTTGTAGAAGGCTAAAGCAGGACACACACCTTTCACCTCTACAAAAATCAACTCATGCTGGATAATAGACTTAAACCTAAGGTATGAAACTATTAGAATTCTAGAGGAAAATGTTGGACACTCTCCTAGACATCGGCTAGGCAAAGAGTTATGAAGAATCCCCAAAGGCAATCACAGCAGCACAAAAATAAATAACTGGGACATGATGAAAGTAAAAAGCTTCTGCACAGCCAAAGAAACAGTCATAAAAGTAAACAGACAACCTACAGAATGGAAGAAAATTTTTGCATCTTATGTATCTGATTAGGGGCTGATAACTAAAATATACCTAGAACTCATGAAAATCAGCAAGGAAAATCAAATAACCCTACTAAAATGTGAGCAAAGGACTTGAACAGAAACTTTTCTAAAGAAGACAGAAGATGGCAACAAACATATGAAAAAATGCTCAACATCTCTAATCATCAGGGAAATCCAAATCATAACCACAATGAGATATCACTTAACTCCAGTGAGAATGGCCTTTATCAAACGTCTCCAACAATAAATGCCTGGTGTGGCAGAGAGAGAGGAACACTCCTACGCTGCTGGTGGACTGCAAACTAGTTCACCTTCTGTGGAAAGCAATATGGAATACCTTAAAGCAATACAAGTGAACTACATTTGATCCAGCAATCCCATTGCTGGGCATCTACCCAAAAGATCCAATGACACTCTACAAAAAAGACACTTGCACTCGAATGTTTATAGCAGCACAATTTCATAATTGGCAAGGCTGTGGAAACAGCCAAGTGCCATCGATCCAAGAATGGATTAATAAAATGTGTATATGTATACATGAGTACTATTCAGTTCTAAGAAAAACGGTGATATATAGCACATCTTATATTTTCTTGGTTAGAGCTGGAACCATACTAGTAAGTGAAGTATCCAAGAATGGAAAAGCACCACTATACTCACCAGCAAATTGGTATTAACTGAGCAGCACCTAAGTGGACACATAGGTACTACAGTAATAGGGTATTCGGCAGGTAGGGGGAAGGGGCGGGTATACATACATAATGAGTGAGATGTGCACCATCTGGGGATGGTCATGCTGAAGACTCAGACTTGTAGGGGATGGGAAATGCCATTTATTGAAACCTTAAAATTTGTACCTCCATAATATGCTGAAATAAATAAAAAGAAGAAATGAAAAAAAAAAAGAATTTGCATAATCTATGCAAATCCCTGTGAGTGTGTGATATTTTTTACTAAACCTAGCTGAATATCTCAAAGCTCTTCTCTAACCATTCACTAATTCTCTAAATGCATGTGGTTATCTAACACCTGTTTCATTTGCATATGTTTTATCTCAGTAATCTTTCCTCTGTATATTTTTAGCCTCTGCATAATTATTACTTTCTCCTGAGAAGCCTCCTTATCTCTTAAATTCCATAGACACTATCCTATCTTCCCGTGATGTTTCTGTAGCCTTTATGTAAGACTAATTACATACTGTCTAGAAATACAATCATGTGCCACATAACTACATTTGGTTAATAGACCACTTCTGCACTCGAATGTTTTAAGCAGCACAATCCACATTGCAAAGATGTGGAAACAACCTAGATGCCCATCAAATTAGTGGATTAATAAAATGTGGTACATGTATACCATGGAGTACTACTCAGCCATAAAAAATGGTTAATTACCTCTTGTATTTTCCTGGATGGAACCAGAGCCCATTCTACTAAGTGAAGTATCACAAGAATGGAGAAAGAAGCAACACATGTACTCACCATCAAATTGGTATTAAGTGATCAACACTTATGTGCACATATGTAGCAACATTCATCAGGTGTTGAGCAGGTTGGCAGGGGGAGAAGGGGATGGGTATATTCACACTAATGGGTGTGGTGCAGACTGTGGGGGATGGACATGCTGGTAGCTCTTACTTGGGCAGGGCAAAGGCAATATATTAACCTAAATATTTTACCCATAATATGCTGAAAAAAAAATTAAAGAAAAAAAGTACATTGCTCACAAATACACCTATAATGATGGGATAAGGAAACTTATTTTTTCCTCATCTAGCTCTTTTAATGAATATGAGTTGCCTCATGATTTTTGTTGTCTGTTTGAAAAATGAAATAAGTTAAATGTTTAGTCAATGCTTTGCAGCCATAAACTCAAAAAATATAATTGCTATATTTTTCTGTTAAAGAATTTATGAAAAAAATATGAAAATTCACTATTTTGATAAAAACAAAAGTAAATGAATATAATTTTCATAAGTACCGATACTTTTCACCATTTCTACATAAATATGTTGACTGTATAATTTCAATGCTTATCTCAAAATGTATCATTAAACTCAATCACACTCTCAGTACTCTGTATTATGTATTAACTAGTCGTTTATTCATTATTTCCTGCTTTCTTCTTTTCCTTTTTCAAATATTCTCAAATTCAATTCTATTAATGACCAGCTCCTCTGGGATTAAATGCTACATGCCATATGTCCATATTTATACCTTTGAAGAAATAAGAGAAAAATATGAAATAATGCATTTGTAACTACATAATATATATCAGTGATTCTTAACCCATATCATAGACCCACTGTCACATATATATAGTAAGATTTAAAATGGGCATCTACCCAAAAGAACAAAAGTCACTCTATGAAAAAGACACCTGCACTAGAATGTTTATAGAAGCACAATTCACAATTGCAAAGATGTGAAAACAACCGAAGTGCCCTTCAATTCATGAGTGGATTAATAAAATGTGGTATATGTATACCGTGGAGTACTATTCAGCTATAAGAAACAATGGTGATATAGCACCTCTTGTATTTTCCTGGATAGAGCTTGAACCCATTCTATTAAGTGAAGTAACCCAAGAATGGAAAAATAAGCACCACATGTACTCACCAGCAAATTGGTATTAACTAATCAACACCTCAGTGGACATATAGGAATAACATTTATCAGGTGTTGGGCAGGTGGTGGGGGGAGGGGATGGGTACATAAATACATAATGAGTGTGATTCTCACCAACTGGGGATGGACACGCTTGAAGCTCTGACTCGAGGGGGTAGGGGGAACAAAGGCAATATACGTAACCTTAACAATTGTATCCGCATAATATGCTGAAAAAAATAAATAAATAAAAATAAAAAATAAAATAAAATGTATAAATAGTTTATAATAATGCCCCCCTTACCCATCCCCCTGATGCTAAAACAGGCCCTATTGAATATTGTTTCCAAGAGTGATCTCCCTTAAAAAAGAGGTACACATTACATTTTTTACACTTTCAATGATTTCTCCCTCTGATTGGAAATGCCAAGACTACAAACTCAGAATAACCTGGGCTGTATATTAAACATAGGATACATTAACTGTATCCAAGACATATTGACTCAGAAGCACTAAGCATGATAACTTCAAATTTCAATTATTAAACTATATAGGTGATTCGTACAAACAAAACCTTTGAAAATTACTGATATAGTAGATTTAAAGCCAAAATAATCTTCTGGTGAACAGGTCCCTTTATGTTTTGACCCTTCAACCTCTTCTACCTTCATCAGCACTCAAGTATAAGTCGTACCACTTTCACAATTGGTCAAATATTTAAGTGTTATCCTTTACCAAGTGGCAAAGAGTATTAATAGCATATATTTAATAAACAATGATGTATGGGTTATTTCTCCTTCTTTACATATGGAGAAACTGAGACATAAGAAGTTTGCATAGGGGGGAGGGAATCAAGATGGCAGACGAGAAACAGACAGAGTGTCTCTGCAGAAAGACAGATTCTAGCAGGAATTAGAAGAAAGAAGCAATAAGACGAGCATACAGAGGACGAGGGAGCAGCCTGGAGACCAGCGGAAAGGGTAGGTAGATTGGCCAAGTTTCCCCTCCCCTGCATCTCAGACTGCTGGTGGGCTCCCCAGAGGGTGGAGAGACCTGCAGACACCAGCCCAGAGATGGGCCCCAAGTGAGCGGTAAGCCAGTAGCGGACCAGCACCAGGTTCCCAAATCCCTCAGCACACCTCTGTGTGCACAGACCTGAGCTTTGTGGCAGGCACCATATTGCCTCATTCTCTCCTCTGCCAATCCTACACGCGATTGCCCAGAAAGACAACATAGCCACCAGCCGGAGGCACTTCCAGGGAATGGGACCTTCCCTTTTGGGTCCCTACAGCTGACTAAGGGGAACTCAGACTGTGAGCTCCCTACCCGCCAGCCCTCCCAGGTGCTGCTGGCATGGTGATCCCAGGAGAACAGGGCACACCCTGAGGCTGAGTGACATAGACCCAGCTTGGGCTCCCCATGGGTGAATTGAGATTGGCACTCCTCTCACTGGTGGGGATATAGTTCGAACTCAGGGGCCCAGAGGTCAGACCTGCAGACAAGATCCTGTCCACCGAGGTCTTGCATTGCCCGGGGCACAGAAGGGATGTACATCAACAGCCTACTGAGGTGTGTGTGCCTTCAGGGGCAGATCAGCATCCTAGAGGGCAATCCTCCTCCCAAAGGAAGGCTGTGAGCCCAGCCCAGGTGGCTTTCCTGTGCAGGGAACCTCCCCGTTGGATTCACAGTCAGGGGAGGCCTGGTGGCATGTGGTCTGGCATGCTGGCAGAGGCCCAGGAGTAGCTGCAGAGTTGGGGAGGGTGGAAAGAAGTGAGGCTTGCTCCAGACTGTGGGTCTCAGACAGCCCCACCCCCACATGCAGACTTTCTGACTGACCAGAGCCATTCCAGCCAGTCCCTGACAGCTTATCCTGGAAGCAGACAACAGAACTTTAACCCCTGCTAACGACATTGGTGGTGCCTGAGGGCAGGCTTACCAAACCCAGCTCTGCACAGACTCTCTCCTAGACCAGCCCTCACTGAGGGGGAGAAAAGGACACACCTGGAAATCCCAGGGCCCCATCGACCACCTGAGGCACTAGAGTGCCCCTCTACAGGAACAAGAGCTGGTTACAGGACACAAAAACAACAGCGTAGCCTGTACCTTCAAGCAAGCGCCACCTACTGACAGGGAGGACATCCTACACACCCTTTTCACGGCAACTACTGACTCATAATACAGGGAGTGGTCAAATCTCACACACAGACATAATCAACCAGCTCAGAAACTAAACAAGGCATGTGAACATCCAAATGAAAACCTAAAGGAAAGAAACAACAGCTGATTGACATGGGAAGAAATCAGCGAAGGAACTCCAGTAATATGAAGAACCAAACAGAAAACACACCCCCAAAGAGGAGCACCAGACCCCTAGAAATGGTCACCAACGAAAATCAGGCAACCAAAATGACAGAAGAGGAATTTCATATGTGAATCATAAGAACACTCACGGACCTGCAACAACAACTCAATAACCAACACAAAGAAACCACATTGAACCTTAAAATGGGTACTCCATAATATGCTGAAAAAAAAAAAAAGAGAAATGAAAGAAGTTGCATAATCTATGCAATATCCGTGAGTGTGTGATAAATTTTTATAAACCTAGCTGAATATCTCAAAGCTCTTCTCTAACCAGATTCACTAATTCTCTAAATGCATGTGTGTCTACAAACCTGTTTCATTGCATATGTTTTATCTCAATATCTTTCCTTCTGTATATTTAGCCTCTGCATATTACTTTTCTTCCTGAAAGCCTCCTTATCTCTTTAATTCCATAGACACTATTCCTATCTTCCCCGTGATGTTTTGTAGTCCTTTTGTAAGACTAATACATACTGTCTAGCAATACAATATGTGCCACATAACTACATTTGGTTAATAGACCACTTCTGCACTCGAATGTTTATAGCAGCACAATTCACAATTGCAAAGATGTGGAAACAACCTAGATGCCCATCAATTCATGAGTGGATTAATAAAATGTGGTACATGTATCCATGGAGTACTACTCAGCCATAAAAAATGGTTAATTACCTCTTGTATTTTCCTGGATGGAACCAGAGCCCATTCTACTAAGTGAAGGTATCACAAGAATGGAGAAAGAAGCAACACATGTACTCACCATCAAATTGGTATTAAGTGATCAACACTTATGCACATATTGTAGCAACATTCATCAGGTGTTGAGCAGGTTGGCAGGGGAGAAGGATGGGTATATTCACCACTAATGGGTGGTACGACTGTCTGGGATGGACATGCTGGTAGCTCTTACTTGGGCAGGGCAAAGGCAATATTTAACCTAAATATTTTTACCCCATAATATGCTGAAATAAAAAAATTAAAGAAAAAAAGAGTACATGCTCACAAAACACCTATAATGATGGAGATAAGGAAACTTATTTTTTCCTCATCTAGCTCTTTATATGAATATGAGTTGCCTCATAGATTTTTGTTGTCTGTTTGGAAAATGAAATAAGTTAAATGTTTAGTCAATGCTTTGCAGCCATAAATCTCAAAAAATATAATTGCTATATGTTTTTCTGTTAAAGATTTATGAAAAAATATGAAATTATCACTTTTTGATAAAAAACAAAAAAGTAGATGAATATAATTTTCATAAGTACCGATACTTTTCACCATTTCTACATAAATATGTTGACTGTATAATTTCAATGCTTATCTCAAAATGTATCAATTATAAACTCAACACATCTCAGTACCTCTGTTATTATGTATTAACTAGTCGTTTATTCATTATTTCCTGCTTCTTTCTTTTCCTTTTTCAAATATTCTCAAATTTCAATTCTATTAATGACCAGCTCCTCTGGGTTAAATGCTACATGCCATATGTCCATATTTATACCTTTGAAGAAATAAGGAGAAAATATTAAATATCAAATTTGTACTACATATATGTATATATAGTATATGAGTGTATATTTTTCTACTCGTGAAACTTGCATCTTTCAATGCAGAATATTTAGAAATGAATATGCTAAAATATTCAATCCCAGATTTCAAATATTTATTTTTGGTTCATACATATTTTGTCAATGAGAAGATATCATGTAAACAACTATAAACAGAGATTTAACAAAAGTGAATGATACGGTGACAGGAAGAGGTCAAAAGGCAATAGATGCAATTTTTAGCAATATTGCTATGACATTAGTCATGTGGCATGGAAAGGTTACCTAAGTTCAAAGAAGCAATTCAGGGCATAAAACTCTTCATAGGTTCTTAATACTGTCCATTTCAGAAGACTATTAAGTAGACTAGAAATCCAAAACGTGTTTTTCTACTATCTCTTTACTAACTCTTTTCTGAGTTGCCAAAATTTAAAGGATATAAGCATGCCAATTCTCCTGAAGATAGGTCCAGAATTTCTAAGAGAAAAATATGGACTCGTACAATATGGAAGAATCAAATTCTAAATCAAACTTTCATATACCCTGTATCAAATGTTGTCTGTATGCCTCATTTACATCAATAATTATGTTTTTACACTTTCTTATCAATATATATAAAAAAAGACATATTAATGATTTATCTTTTATTCTTTAATGATGCTCCACCTTGGCACTTTCTGTTCACTTAATAAATTCCCATGAGCCAACAAGAAAGACAGATAAAATAAGTCCAATTCCATTTATATAAATGCATAGAGAGGGACATTTCTTATTTTCCATTGTTCACGTTAGCATTTGCAGGAAAACATAACATTCTCTGAAGGCGAAGAGAAACACTACTTAGATTTTAAGGATATATGATCATAGGGTTACAAATGCAAGTTTTAACAAGTGTTTATTACATGGAAAGAGGAAAATGGAGAAAGTACTTTACTAGTTATCTGGTTATAACTGTGTTTATAAATGGATCTTGTATGAGAGAGGGAAAGCAAGAATTAATGTATAATAAAATGTTTCAACGTTTTATAAATCATGAATTAAGGATATTGTGGGTCAGATATTATAGAAACAAGAAGAGCTATAACTCTGAAAACCATGAAAAAGTTAATCACACATTTGTGTTGAAGTACAAAAAATAAATAAGTAAATTGCCAAATCGATTTGCAGCTCTGAAATTATATGACTATTTAAGAAAGTGTAGATGGTAGAATTTCAGACTAAATTATCAAGAAGAACCAGGAAGTAAGTAACTTGATTACTCTTAAATGTAATACATATTATTCTACTTTATATGTTTGAAAATAGTATTTGCACATGATTGTGGACTTACAACTCTTATAATTTTAAAATTAAATAATTGTTTATTACTAAGAAAATGTTATTCACAGTAAATGTTATTTCAACAATCTACTTGTTCATTTGCCATAGCAATATCACAAATACAAAGGTGAATGTCACTTTGCATGAATTCAAATGTTTCTACACAATGATTTGTTTAGCAATGGAAGTTCTCTTTCTTGTTCTGGCTTTTTTGCTAGAAAAGGGGAAAAATGAGCATGGAGGATAATAACATCAATGGAACCCCTCAGAAGAGAAAGCACAAAAACATAGCCATGGATAACATGTATTTTCAAAAGAGAGAAACTATAGTGATCGGTTGTTTAACCTCGTAAAGTTTCCTAAACTTTGTGAGACCCAGTTTCTCAAAATATCACGTTTAGTAGGCCTAAATAACTCTGTAAATTTTCAAATTCTGTATTTAGATTATGCTACATTACAGGTTCTTTTTTATAACATTGAGGAAAGGCAAAAAATCAATTAGAATGCTTTCATGTTTTTAAATATTTTTAACAACAACTAGAAGCTCAATTTTGAAGAAACATTAAACGAACAAGCTTCTGTTTAAATGCTAATACCAAAAATTTTATCCATGGCCTGTAATAGTATTTTTCAATGAAGAGGATTGGTTTTAACATCAGATAATATTTTACTTGAATTAAAGGTAGAATGGAATTGAAGAGAGATGCTGATGGAAAGCACGTGAGTTTTTTAAAAATATTTCATAGATTATTCATATTATAGACACTGAAAATGTTAATATACTACCTCAACAGTGTTTATTTTTTGTTATAATTCTATAGGGGAACATACTTCTTTTTCAGAGGGAAAATAAAGACCAGCAATGAAAACCACACAGTCCCACAGAATTCATTCTTCTAGGGCTGTCAGATGACCGGAGCTTCAGATTGTGATTTTTCTCTTTTTAATTATCATGTATATATTAAGCATCACTGGAAACTTGACCATCATCACTCTCACCTTGGTGGACTCCCATCTACAGACTCCTATGTATTTCTTCCTCAGGAACTTTTCTGTATTAGAAGTAACCTTTACAACTGTCTGTATCCCTAGATTTCTGGGCTCAATTATCACCAGAGACAAAACTATTTCCTACAATAATTGTACAGCTCAGTTGTTTTTCTTCATCTTCATGGGGATAACCGAATTTTACCTTCTAACTGCTATGTCCTATGATCGTTACGTAGCCATCTGCAAACCCCTGCACTACACAACCATCATGAACAAGAGAGTCTGCATATTGCTTGTCTTTTGTGCTTGGTTGGCAGGATTCTTAAATATCTTTCCACTAGTTATTCTTTTTCTCCAGTTAGATTACTGTGGCTCCAATGTCATCAATCACTTTACCTGTGACTACTTTCCCCTGTTACAATTATCCTGCTCAGACACATGGCTCCTAGAAGTGATTGGCTTTTACTCTGCAATAGTGATTCTGCTTTTCACTTTGGCATTAATCATTCTATCCTACATGTTCATCATCAGGACAATTTTGAGACTTCCTTCTGCTACTCAGAGGAAAAAGGCATTTTCTACATGCTCCTCTCACATGATTGTCATTTCCATTTCTTATGGAAGCTGCATATTCATGTATGCTAATCCCTCTGCAAAAGAAAAAGCATCCTTGATCAAAGGAGTAGCTATTCTCAATACTTCTGTTGCTCCCATGATGAATCCATTTATATACACCCTGCGAAACCAGCAAGTAAAGCAAGCCTTTAAGGACACCATCCAAAAGGTTATGTTTTTCTCTAGTAAATGAAAGCATGCTAAAAGAATAAAGTTTTTGTTAATGTTTTCTATTGTGCATACTCTCTCAAAAGTCTCTTTGCTTCAGTATAATTATATATGAGTGGTTTTTTTT